GGGAGGAGGGAGGAGGAGGGGATGATGGGGACGGGGGGAACGATGGTGGATACAACAACAGTAAGTTTGAGTAAGAGTTTTACAGCGCTTGCTTGCAACGCAATACGTTTATTGTACTTTTTTACACAGATGCCAATATTACTGTGTCTTGAGGAGGAATACAGTTATAAATAGATCTATACAAAGAGACGAGATACAAGTAAAAATACAAACAAAATGACAAATGGAAGAATAGAAAAAAAGCAAAACATTCAGAATTGTTGGCACATCGCGCTAATCGAATAATGTTTTGGGTTTGTTGGGGGTGGGGGGGGGGGGGGTCAGTTGTTTTGGTTGATTTTTTTGTTTTTTAAAAATCACTCGCAACTGCACAAGGTCACATGAGCTCTCGGGAAACTGTAAGAAATTGAAAACTGTTTGCGTGACAATGTGAGAGCCTCCTCACGGACACACTAGGGGGGTCAGTTGTTTTGCAGGGTTTTTAAATTTTCTAGTAGCTTTAAAATAATGCAGACGAAGAAAAGTGACTAGGTTTCAGAATAAGCTTAACTTTCATGACTGTTCACAAATAGTAGACTAGCATTAAGTGGACGTCATTTTAACCCAAACTAGAAGTCATTATAATATTATAGGTATCTGACTCCGAATGGAAAATATGATATCTCTGAAGTTGCCAAGTTTCAGATTTGCAGTGATACCAATATGCATACAATTGTACAATGAAGGCAAAGACTTCAGATGGCTGACAATGAAAGAAAATGTTAGCATCAAATCAACTTTTTCCAAGATAACCAAACTCTTCTTGATTAATTCGATAGTCACACCACCCTCCACCCACCACAGAAATAGATATTACATGAGAAGCTTATATTATTATAAATCGTGTCAAACGTCGGATTGAAAGAGAGAAACGATAATTTTTCTATGCTTTTTTTTTGTACAAACAATAACACATTGTGTTGACAGAAATGTCAAACCAGTTAGCAAAAAAGGGAAAAATTAAAAATTAAACAGGAAAGAACAAGAAAACAGGAAAAGAAAGAAAAGAAACACACTAATTGGATTTAGGTTGAGATGGTAGAGGGTAAAAATTGGATATTTACTCACCTATTTTTGTGTTGGGAGTACCGTAAAACGTGTACACGAACTAAATCTTTTTTATTTTTAATTTACAGAAGCAGGTAATGAGGGAGAACTGCGTGGTGGAAAACGGCACAAAGCAGAAACAAATGCGAGGTAGTTGAGCCAGTATGAGGGTGGCGTGAGTTAGTTCTCTCAATCCACGAATTGAGATAGCAGCCGAAAATTGACATTGGGGTCAAATTTGTAAATGTTCAATTGTTGTCCATTTTCTTCAAATTTAACATTTTTTTCACTATTCTCCTTTTAAGGATAGTACTAACTCCACTTATCAATCTGACATTTTGTATTTCCATACGGCTAAAATCCCAGAAGTAACTCATTTTGTCAGCACATCTAAAAAATTAAATGATAACGTTTGCTTTTCTCAGAAGCCCGAGCAACTCACCATCTCTACTGGATAGTCAAGGCAGTCAGATGGGTACCGGAGAAGAACAGGACTTGGCTATCAAGGCAGTGGTGGTGTAGACCCTCAGCTGGTCAAGACTTTATATACTGACCAGTGGGACACTCATAAAGCTCTTCAGGCGAACCCTCCATTTACATGTTCTCCTAGCTCTCTGACTTAACTGCCCTTTAAAATCTCAACCACCAGATCAAACTCGGTGAAGAGAGCGAGGGCCACTATGCAATAATTTGAGGGCGTGAATATTATTAACGCATTGAACCGCGCAGCCGGGATTTCTATACGGAGTATAAAACTAGTAGGGAACACCGCTTCGCTATCGACTCTTCGAGGTAGTAAAATAACTTTACTGCAAGCGCTTATCCGTAGCGGCAGACCTTGCAAATGCTGAGGTATATGGAAATGCGTTTGTCTTTAAATGCGGGGCTCGTGAAGAAAGTAAAAGCCTCGAGGTCTCGAGCTAAAACTTTACCACTATGTTTTGTTTCTTTTTTCTTTCTATTTTTTTCCTCCCCACTCTCCACCCCTCTTTTTGGCTTTTTCCCTCCCGCCCTATCTGCTCGCCTCAAAGCAGAAGGTATAACGGAGAGAAACAATTGTTTCAAGTTTGCTTGTTCGTCAGTGCAAAATGAAAGTAATGGTCCTATGGAGGTCTGTTTGTGCGAGTCCGCCGACCTTCTTTTTTATATTATTATTTTGACATATTATTGCTTCTTTATGGAAAGAAAACGACAGGACATGTGTATGTCATAAGAAAGAGGGCTACAAAATTCTTTTTTTTTTCTCTAAAAGATCCAAAGGTGCCAAGAACAATAGTTCTGAAATAGCTGTACGTGTTCACAAGCATCTAAACAGCGCCACAGTTGACCCAACCATCAGCGTCGGCGCCACTAGTATTGTTCTTACATTATCTTATAATTATTGCTATTGCACTATGTTTTTGTTAGTTATATTGTTTAATGTTTGTTGTGGGTGGTTGCGAATGATCTTGTGTGTTAGCTCCCTCTTTCCTGTCAAACTTATATTGCTCTTATCTCTCGTCTTGTGTTTTTGTGTTTGTTACTCTCTTGTAACACCTCTAATGTTCGGCACTTATATGACCTATCTGTGCTGCAGGTACCGTAAAAAAATCTTACTTAAACAAAAAAGTTAATTAATGTTTTTGTAGTTCTACAGGGTATCATGGTGCAAGTTTCAGTGATGTTGCTGCTTATCTATCCGCATTGGTACATAGAAAGGCGTGAGTTCTATTTCTGGCTGGAGAAGTTTGTTTGTTTATTTGTTTGCTTGTTTGGGTTTTGTTGCCTTTTGTTTTGTTTGTTTTTTGTTGTTGTTGTTTTTTTTTCAATCCAGTATTTCCGTCTGTCTGCTGAGACTTTACCTCACTCGGCCCGGACAGACCCTGAAAAAGGCTGTCGTGGTCTAGAGGTTATGGTGTTCGTCTCCCATTCAATAGCTCCCGAGTTCGAAACCTGACTGCGACAGCAAATTTTCTTCTCATAAATATTTTCATTTCACTTCCGTTCTTGCTTTCAAACCTCATTCTGTTGTCTGCGTTCACCCCCATTTTCTGCCCCCC